TAAGTAAAAAGGCACAGTCCTGATATTACCAAACCACACGGCAGGCCATTGACTCAAGTCCATCAAGAGTCCCAGGACTGGCAAACAACCAGGCCAGCTGGTAAATGACTTGGCCACATGCAGGTTCAAGCAGGCCATAAGCTGTAGACCATTCCCAAAGCTGCTCCTTACATAGTTCCACCATGGAGTTGATTGCCAGTCTCATCATGGGGAATAACTACCACCAGCTGCCCAGCCACTCAACCAGGTCCAGCCAAGTTGACACATACCTTTAACTACCGTATTTCCACCCCTTGTCAGCTTGGCACCAGTACAGATCTCCTTCACTGGATGGCTTCAGTCTCCTAGTTGATCTGAGTGGTGACCTCCCCCTTTTGGGCTGTAGGCCCTGTTGCTCTCCCTCTTGGGTGTGGCAGCCCTGCCCCCTCACTGTTGGGCAGCAACTGTGGCCCCGTCCCACTGGCCCACATGAACAAGCTGCCCCACACTCCAGAACCAAGTCAGTGAAGATCTAACTCTTCGAAACCTAGGAGATGGTGGCGGTTCCACCCCCAAGGGCCGTGGTCCTACCTTTGGAGGCTGAAGCAGCTCTGGTTCCCATTTCCTTGGTCTCTCAGCTTCTACCAATTAATTCCCAAGGTCAACCCACTCTGCTAGGAATCTTCCTGCCCAAAAGACACTTAGCTTTCTCGCACCGTGGGCTGGTAGGGCTGTTACTGTCTCATGCAGGTCTTTCGGCTCTGCAGCTGCCGTCTCTCACAGCCTTAACTGCCATGCTTAGGCATTGCACCAGCCCTCTCAGTTACCTAGATAGCTCTGTTTCTTAGACTTTTCCACCAGTCTCTACACTTCCCATCACACATAACATCCTGATGCAAGTGCGGTCAGTTCTGTTTGCAAAACAGATTTCACAACTGTCCATTTCTCTGTTTCTACAGCACTACCTTAGTCAAAGCTGTGAATGCTTCATTTCCTCCTTCTAATTCTTATACTTTTTCTTTCTGTTTCTTGCCTAATTGCAATGGCTAGGATCTTCAGTGCTGTGTTGAATAAGAGTGGTGATAGCAGGCATCCATGTCTCCTTCTGATCTCAGTGAAATTTTTCAATAGGCTATTAAGTATAATAGTAAGTATAATATTTGCCTTAAGCTATATATGGATATTCTTTCTCAGTACCTGGATTACAATTAAGTTTCATCCCTAAATCTGTCTTTAAGTCAAATATTTACGTGAGTCAAACAGTTAGATACTGTTCCTATCTAAGGTCAGTCAGTCAAATGTTTGTCTTGGTGTATAGTATATAGTGTACCATCCTATGCATTAAAAAACCTTAAAGAAACACTGCCAAATACTGTAAAATATCTTTTAACATAATGTTGTTGTTGTTATGTGCCGT